CATACAGCCCTAAAGGTTTGGGCACTTCTGAAACCCTTTTTTGCTACAAAACACTGTCAAAAGCCCTGTCCACAGAGATCTCTGCCCTGTGGCCACACCAGGAGGAGTAGAAATGAAGCTTTGTCCTTTTTTGTGGACTCTTTGTGGTCTCTTTTTATGAATTCCCATTACAAAGCTGAGCTCTGCCCATGCTGGACAGGGTGAAACACTCAGCTCCCTATTTTCCTGTATCCCTTAGGTGTGGGGATATATATATACACCCCACTATTCAGGAAGGAGCTAGAACATATCCTGTGCCTCCATTTTCGGAATCTGAATGGTTGTGGGTAACCCAGAGACCAGTTTTGGAGTGAGGAGATGCCAGTGACATTTCCCTGCAGACTGGCGTGTCCTGCAGAGGATGAACTGGCCCTAGGGCAGGGAATCAGTCCCAAAACATCCCCTGTGCTCTGAGGGTGGCTGAGGCTGCCACTGGCACCTGTGCCTGTCCCCAGGAGCCACCCAGGAGCACTTCCCTGGGATAAAAAAGGAGGTGCACAAGATGCATGAGCAGGAAGCACAGCTGTGAGACCGCTCTGCCAGACTGAAAAAGGAAAATCTGTTATAAAACAGGCACCCAGGGCACGAGTTTGCTTTTCCAGAGGCTGTGAGAGCCAGAGGCTCTGGGATTGAGAGCAAAGGAGATGCCTGAAAGAGGAGGGGTGGTAACACCTGGAAAGCTTCAGGGATTGTTCCTCAGGGCTCATGCAGTTGTTACCTGACGTGGCTGTGACGGGGAAGGGAGCAGGGCTGGGGCATTGAGCCAGGGGGTTCCCAGCTGGTGCCCGGCCAAAAGCCTGGTGCAGGGGGGCACAGAAAGGGTAACACAGGCACCAGGGATCCCAGTGCCACCGAGATGGGGCTGGCTGGGAGCTGGGACTGGCTGCTGCCACACCTGCATGGTGCCTTCAGCAGTGACATCACAAAATGGTCTGGGCTGGAACCTTAAAGATCATTCAGTTCCAACCCTGGTGACAGCACTGAGCCTTCCCTGGGTGGCAGCAGTGTGGTGTTCAGGTGCTTTGCAGCACCAGGTCCCTGCCTTTCCCATCCCTTCTCCTGGGAAGGGCTCAGCCCATGCAGCAGGAGCTGCTCCTTGTCCTCACATGTCCCGTGGTGCTCACATCAGGGCCCTCTTGCCTCACTTTTACTAAACAGAAGCCAACTCCCAGCCTCCACAGCTGCTGCCAGTGCATCTCCCAGCACTTTTGGGTTTCCCTGAGCCCTCTGGGGTTTCGAAGGCATCTCCAGGAGCTGTTGGGTGACTCACCAGATGGATGTGAACACAGCACAGGTGCTGCCCAACTGAGGCTCCCAGTGGGATGGCATGAAGGAAAAATGCACACAGGGGCTCACAGGGGCTCATAGGCTTGATTATATCACCGTAGACCCTCAAATGCTCTCACCTAGTACCTGAACAACAGCCCTTCAGTAACTGCTGCTCATCTCCCCCGCCTGGATCTCAGGAAAACAGACTCAGCTCCAGCCCTGGTTACCTGGAGATGCTGAAAGCAGATTCAGATGCAAGGTGTATTGAACCCAGACACAAGTTCACCCCAAATTTGGCAAGTTAGAGTTTAAAATAGTATGTGTTCAGGGTGAGCCTGTTGTGGGAGAGGAGCAGCACCGTTTCTCCAGGCACCTTCTCCATCCCAGGATCATTGCTGGCACCCACCAGCTGAGCAGGAGTGGACAGGTGAGGGATAGGGATGAGCTCAGGGTGGTGTGGGGTGTGCAAGCTCAGCTCCACTGGTCTCTGCCCATGGTGTGTCCTGACAGCAGTGCCCTCCCCTATGACGGGTGTTTACAGAGCTGGACAGGATCCCCGGAGCCCTCGTGTCCCTCTGGCTGCAGGACACCAGGGTTCTACAAGGTCAGACCCTTCCCCCAGCTGCATCCATGAGCTGGGGACCTCCAGGAAAAAGCCATGAGCTGGGAACCTCCAGGAAAAAGGCACTGGTGGGATGTTGCTGGCAGGTTTGGTGGTTGGTGGTGGCCTCGTGCTCGGGGTTGCTGCTCCCGGCGGTGCCCCGAGTGCAGCGTCAGCTGGATTTTGGCAGCTCTGAGCCCTGGCCCCTCACTGCCCACAGTCCTGGCCCCAGGGAAGGCAGGGAGAAGGTGGCATGCTCACGTCTGAATACAACATGTTCCCCAGGCATGTTTGTTAACATAGTCACAAATAAACATTTTGCAAGATTTTTGCCAGGAGGACGGGCTTAATGTGTGTGGAGCCTTAAAGGACAGGAGAAAGCCAGTGCAGCCTATCATGTGGGCTCTGCTCTGGCCTCCCCAGCACTGCTGGGGCAAGGGAAATTGATTTCTCTCTGGGGATTACATTACTCAAGTCCCTGTGCACAAATTGAGGAGCAAATCCCATTAATCCAACCAGGAGGGAAATAATATCATGGTGCTGGGGCAGAATGGAAGGGCCAGCAAAACCCACCAGGAACCACCCCAGTCCCCCTGTCCTCCCCACTGGCAGATCTCCCCCACTCTGCTCCCCAGAACAGATTCTGGCTTCAGAATGAGCAAAAGGAAAAGGCAAAGTCATGTTCCAGCTCCTTGGGGGATTTCAGGCTTTCAGGGCCAGGATGAGCAATCTCAGCCCTGGGAGAGCTGTGGGGTCCCAGGGGGAAGCAGGGGCAGAGCTGAGCAGGGGAAGGAGGGATGCCCTGGGCTGTCAGGGGCCTTCAGCCTGTGATTTTTTCAGCGATATTTTCTATATGGACCCTATAGGTGCCTAGTTCACTTTCTAACCCACAAATCATTCATGTTTTTGCCCATCCCATTCTCTGCCCCATCCAGCTGGAGAGAGAGCAAGTGGTTGGGAGGAGGCTCAGCAGCTGGTGGAGGCCACCCGAGAACATTTCCCCATCCTGGAAGTGTCCAAGGCGAGGTTGGATGGCACTTGGAGCAACCTGGAATAGCTGAAGGTGTGCCTGCCCATGGGTTGCAATGAGGTGGTTTTTAAGATCCCTTCCAGCCCAAAGCATTCAATGATTATCTGATTTTCCTGGAGCCTGCGGCTGCCCCTCGGTACCCCCTGGTGCATCAGCCGGTCCCGGTAATCTGTGCAGAGGGCATCGGACTGGGCTGGGATAACGGGAGGGCTGGAAGGAGGACTGGCACACGGTGTGAGCGCTCCACACGCGATCACACAGTCCCCTCTAGTGGATATTCCTCTTCCATCCACATCCCATCCACATGGATGCCCTGCCCACACCGCCTTGGCACCACCGGGCTCCAAATCCTGGTGCCAGCAGTGACCCTGGGGCACTATCCTGCTCCTCTCCTGAAACTGGGCACGATGGCAGGGGCAAAGCCCATCCAGCTGCCTCCAGCTGCTCCATCTCTTCCTCCCCTGCTGCGAATTTGGGTGGCTCAGCCTCCCTCCAGCCCCGTCCCTGCCCTGCCTTTGTCCCCCTGCACCCGCTGCCCTTGCGCCAGGGCTGGCCCCGGCTGGCCCCTGCATCCCCCCTGGCTCTCCTCCGCTGGGATTTCACACTGCTCCGACTTATTTGGGCAGTGGCCAGCATGAGCACGAGCTAATGAGCACCCCAGCTAATGAGCACCCGCTGGTTACTGCTTCCAGGACCCAGGGGCGAGCATCAGTTGTTCCCACCCTGCCAGGGCCTTGGGCCAGCTCGGACTGGGGAGAAGTGGGATGCTCTCAGGTGGGAATCCCCTGAGGGGGAGTGAGTGTTTGCACATTTGTCCAGCAGCTCCTGCCCATCCTGGGTGCAAAGGCTCCCACCAGCACCTTGAGCACTGCTCTGTGCCCTGTGCACCATCTCCTTACCCCTCCTCTCTGCCCCTTCCTGCTTTGGAAACTGCTTATCACCTGGAATTTATGTGATATCTGCAACCTGAGGCTTTTCAAGGGGAAAAAAGGCATGTAGGAGAGCATGGAAGAACAGAACAGACACAGCTGCAGATCAGGAGTTCATGATGCTCCATCAGGATGCAGTCCCTCCAACTTGCCCCATTTTCTACTGGAAACTTGACCCTGGCCCCAGTGCCACCTTCCAGCAGCCCCAGCTCAGGGCAGAGCTGATGTCAAACCCTCTGCCTCCATCCCTGGGCTCTCCTCTGGGGAGCTCCCGTGCAGGGCGAGGGTAGTGGGGATGGAGGAGGAGCTGTGGCCCAATGTTTGCTGCCAGGAAGGCCCAAAAAGCAGCTGGGATGGCAGAGAGATGCTTGTGGCTCAACCAGCCCTGGAGCAGCTTTATGAACCCCACAGCAACATCCTGGGGAGGTGTACACCCAGTTCTGTTTGAGCTGGCAGCTGATTCACCTTGTCCCCATGCTGGCCAGGAGTCCCTTGGTGTCCCAGCTCCAGCAGGACTACAGATGTGACCCTGGTAACTCCTTGTGTCCCATCCTGGAGCCACACCAGTACAAGGAGCACAGAGTCAGGTTCTGTCCTGTGATCCTGATTTTCCCACTCCTGCTGGGGTGGTCCCACAGTCCTCCCTCCCTGGCTCTGGTCCCATGTGTCCAGCTGGGCTATGGCATTGCAGGTTCTGGTCACGCACAGGGATTCCCATGGCACAGCCCCACAGAAGGCACGGGAGTCCAGACACCTCACAGCAGTGTGTGGATGTGGAGCAGCCAGCAGTGATGGATAAGGCATAAAATCCCAGGGAGAGACATCCCATGGCAGTCCCAGCCCTTTTTATAGCTTCTGCTCTGGGGCCCAACAGGACACACACTTCACAGCTCTATTTATTATAAAAGATCTTTAGGGAGATGAACTCTACCCCAAACCACCCCTTGGGCTTTATTTCTGCCCACAGGGACTGTGTCTAACAGGGTGAGGGCACTGCCAGGGCAGCAGGGCTGGTTCCAGGTTTTCTGGACAAGGGGACATTCCCAAACCTGGAGGTGAAACACCCCCCATCCCCACACAGAGTCACAGCTGGGAAACTGCAAACCCCAAACTCCATTTCTAGGCAGCTGGATGCCAAACAACCCAGTGTTTATTGCAGTGCTTCTCATTTGCCTCGGGTTTATGGATGTACATTCAAAAACAAAAGCTCTGTGTATCTCAGCTGGACACAGACAGGCTTGAATGATGAATGGGCCGATGGAGTCACCTCCTGGTCCCGAGTGTGGGAGCAAACTGTGCAGCTACCAGCTCAGGATCTCTTGTGCATAGAGCTGGAGCCTCAGGCTTGAGAAACTCCAGCTCTGCTTTCAAGTATATTTGGTGTGGTGTATTTATCTCTGGCATCACATCTCACCATGGGGAAAAGTCCTGCTGGCCCCGGAGAGCCACATCCCTTGGGTCTGCCCCAGCCCCGGGGGAAGATGACAGGTTTGGGCAGCTGCTGGAGAGATGTGCCAGCTCATTTTGGCTCAATAAGCAGGGTGAAGGCTCTGGGGAGCTTGGGCAGCTCATATTTACATGGTACCATTAGTAAAAAACCAGCTTGGACCCTGTGAGGCTGCACAGAGGGGCCAACAGCTGGTGGAGGTCTGGTGGAGCCAAAGGGTTCCTGATGTTCAGCAGCTGCAGCAGTTGCCCATGGTGCTCCCACATTGCCCCAGCTCCCAGCCTGCAAACCCTCCAGCCAGCCAGCTGCACATTCGAAATAGACCCCTCCAAACCAAACCCACTGCCCAGAGAAGCACACAGTGGTTTAAACAGGAAAGAAAAATGGAAAAAAAAAAAAAAAAAAGAAAGAAAAAAAGATGCTTGTGGTATGTAAGTCCCACTGCCCTGGGCCAACCATGCTAACTTTGTAAACTCCTCCCATCCCAAGGAACAGGGCAAGCCCCAAGTCAACACAGGCCCCATCCCTGGCCCTGCAGCACCCAGGGAAGGCACAGGTTCCAAAGCACCAACTCCAGAACCCTCCAGGTCCTGGATACAGGAGGGGTCTGGCTGCCACTGCTGAATTACATTATTTGTTGGTTATGTAGCTTTAAGTTCATGTCCTTTTGTTGATGGGGTCCCACAGGAGAGCAGAGAGGCAAAGCAAAGGTGTGAGGAGGGTGCAGGGTGGCAAACCCTGGCCAAGTCCTGGCTGTCACCTCTGCCTGTGGGGTTATGTGTCCAAGTGGGGAATTTCACTGCTGCAGCCAGCAAGTCCTTGGGCCAGGAGGGCAGTGGGATCCTGGACAGAGTGGGGACACACAGCAGCAGGGCCCGATGGCCTCTGTGGTGTCAGCAGTGACACACCCAGCTCCCACTGGGGACAGCCGGGCTGTGGCTGCCCTGTGGCAGTGGCACAGGCAGGGAGGGGATGCCAGGCTCTCCCAGCAGCTGGGATGTCTCTCTGGGGCCAGGAGCAGCAGTAGTAGCAGCTTTCTCCTGCCAGACAAGTGGCTGAAGTTCAAGGCAGGACTGCTGAGGGCTCAGAGAAGCAAAAATGAGACAAACAAGTGAGGAAGAGGCTGTGGGCACAGCTATGCCAAAAACACTCCTCTTGGAGCTGTCCCTTGCTCTAAACCCTCCCGTTTTGGTGGCCAACTGCAGCTTCCCAGCAGCGCTGGCTGCTCCCAGAGCTCAGCAGCCCCTGCACTGTCCCCTGGCAGAGGGGGCTGGTCCAGCTGCGTGTGCTGTGACCCCTTTGCACCAGCCAGGCACTGCAGGGGCCCAGAGCCAGGGGAATGGGGCTGGCAGCATGCTCTGTCCCCAGACATCCAGAGCTGGGGCTGTAGTGGAGCACCAGAACAAACTACCCTGTGCTACAGCTCGTGGGCACCCCTCATGGGCTCCCATGCTGGTTTTGGCCAGGGTAGAGTTAATTTTTTTCACAGCAGCTTGTACGGGGCTCTATTTTCTGTGAAGAAAATTAATTCTGCCCTGGCTGAAACCAGCACAGCTGCCCAGACTTTAACAGCAACATCCCCCAACATCTTCCCTTGCAGCACGTGAGCACTGCAAACAGCATCCATGGATGTGCTGGTGACAATTCTCCACCAACACAGGGACAGCCTGGACAGCTCCTGCCTGCTCTCCCTGCCCTTCCAGCCACCCCTCTCCCCAGATCCAGGCACTGCCAGGGGGAAAGATCTCCTGAGGCAGCCCCTTGGGATGAAACCTTGCAAGGATTAAGCAAACCACACACGATCCCTGACCATAACGTGGAGGAGAGGATGGAGAGCTGGTCTGTGCCGTGCAAGGCAAGGGCAGTGACATGCTGAGGGTGACCTTGTCCATCAGGAACGTTGGGCTGGCCCTGTGGGGGTGCAGATGCAGCACAGAGACCCCAGGAGCCAGTGGGAAATGCCCCCCAGCCAGGCTGTCAGGTGCACAGGCACAGTCCTGCTGTTGCTCCCTTGTGGCAGGGCTGGGCTGGGGTCTGTTTTTCAAGTCCAGGTGACTGTGGCGCTTCAGCTCACCCTCCTCTTCCTCCCTGCAGCAGGGACAGCGTCTGTCTGTCTGTCCATCCTGGCCTTCAGCAGGACTCCACAGGGACACAGGCAGGTGCTGCAGCCCCAGGTGGCCGTGGGGGCTGGTGTTTAGGTGGCCTGGCCAGGTGGGAGGCGTTTGCTGTCCAGAATGGCCTTCCAGTCATCAGACCAGGAGTGCAGCCGGCGGCTGGGCGGCTTCAGCTGCAGGTGTTTGTTGTGGCAGGCAGTGAAGAGCACGTGCTCCCAGGTGGGGTTCTGCTCTGCCCCTGCAAGGCAAGGAAGGTCAGTGGTCTGGACAACTCTGTGAGACACTGAAGTTGATTTTACTTCAACATGAAGACCCCAAAGTTACAAAAACCAAACACCCATCCCTGGCTGCCTCCAGCCACTGCTTCACCCTCACCCCTTACCTGTTATATCAGGTCTGTCGTCTATAAGCAGATCAGCAGAAACCACCGTCTTATCTCGTGTCAAAACAATCTGCTCAAGAAATTCAGGGCCAAAGTGCTTCTCCACCCAGGCATACTGGAAGGCAAGAGATGGTTGGTGAGCTCAGGGAAGGCTGATGGATGGGGCAGGGGGTGCTTGGTGGAGTGGAAGCAGCCCTGGCCCCCACACAGGGAGGGTATCTCTCTTAATAAGTTCATTAGCGGGATGGATTTGGATGCTGCTGGAGTAAAAATTATTTGAAAGCCAAGCAGCTTTTGATGTCATGATGAAAGACTAAGACCAAGAGCCTCAGTGCATGCAAATGGATGGAACAGGTAAATTTTACAGCCAGAGGCATGCAGAGGTCAGACACATTTCACTGGGCAGCATGGATGGGACAGAGAGGTGAGATTTGGGCCTGCTCACCTTCTCATAAGGGCAGTACCGGTACTTCTTGATTGGGCTCGTGCAGATGAACACATCCGTGCTGCGACGAGGAGAAAACAGGGGCAGAGTGTCATTCTGGGCCAGAGCAGGCAGCAGCCCAAAGCCAACCATCCACCACACACAGATCAAACAGATTTAAGACATTAATCCCCCATCTCACAGAATCCCACAATCATATTCCCCTTTCCACGACCTTTGCTGGGAGCAGAGACTGAAGGAAGAGGCTGCACATGGCTGATGTTCTAGGTGACTGCTCCAGGAGTCAAAGCCCTCTCTCCCCTGCACATGGCTGATGTTCTAGGTGACTGCTCCAGGAGTCAAAGCCCTCTCTCCCCTCCCTTCCCTGATGGCTGGGAGATATTTATTTTTAATGCTGTTGTTGTATCAGCACTTCTGCCAAGAGGTGGATGTGAAGACACAGCTGCTCCTCTGTCCATCCCCACATGCAGGTTCATACTCACTCTGCCAAATTTGCCATTTGCTTCACAGCTTCCACAGCCCCAGGGAGTGGGTCCAGCTCGATGAAGAAGTTCTTGGATTCCCAGATGCTGATAGCTTTTTCCTGTGAGGGAAAAGCAAGAGGTTACTGCACTTATTGCAATTTTTCCTGCATGTGCATCCTCCTCACCCTTTGCTAGGACAGGGAAAGCAGTGGGAGCACCACCAGTTTCAGTCCCTCCTGCTCACCCCCCTGCCTCTGCAGGTGCTTCTGCTCCCCACTCCATGCAATTCAGATTGGAGATGCTCTGGAACAACAACAACAACAACAAACAAACCAACAAACAAACAAACAAACAAACCCCAAAAAACAGGCTTGGTTTTGGTTTTGCCTCTGCAGCCCCACACACAGAGGGAGCTGCACCTTCCTGTAAAGCCAAACACCAGAGATTATCCAGATCCAAACCAAACCCATCCAAAGGGATGGATCCACATGGATCCAGCTGACATGGCCTGGTGGCCCTGCTCTACCATGATGCTGTTCAGGCACAGGTGCTGTCTGGCCTGTTTGTCTCCATGAGATCACTTAAAATACATGTCCATTACAGGAGGAGCCACATGAAAACCAGGACTGCCCTGAGGTCAGGTAGTGCAAGTTTTGCTACTTGTTCAGCCCAAGGTTTTGGTGGTTTTACATGATCACAGCAGACACAAGATGAGCTCACTTCATTTAACACATCCAAAGTAGTTACGATCAAGAAAGAAAAAAATTGTTATCATGTGTTAATCCTGCCAAACAGGGGTTTGAGCAGCTGCTTTACTGCACAAATGATGTCCTGCACTTCCCTCTCTCCACTCCCAGTCTGGAAGGACACTTTATTCCTTCAGCTCATCAAATTGTTTAGGACTTTGCCCATGGGAGAGCCTTGGACCTTATTCCCACTCCTTTCCCTGTAAGCATCATAATCCAAACAACAGGAACACTTTTATTTACCATAACACATTTCAGCAAGTGCAACTGCAATCCATGGATGAGACCACAGACATCCACTGGGATGGGAAACTTGCAGAGGCAGAAACCAACTCTTTACAGCAGTCAGCCTGTTGCTGAATGCTAAATTACAACATTGAAAGAGCTTCTGCTTTTAAGCTTTAATTATTAAACTGAATGTAATAATTTCTGGCATGGGAGGGCTTACGTTGTTTTAATTTTAAGTAAGCCATCAAATGAAGCATCAATTGCATGGTTTGTTCTGATCTGCTCTGCTGCATCCCACCCCTCACATTGCTCTTGAGGAGATAAATAATCCATCGAGGAACGGTACCAATCCAAATCAGAGCTAGAACAACCCAGCTATACAATCTGGGGTATTTCAAGTCAGATATTCTGAAATACCCCCTTTCCTTGCATCTGTCACTGTCCAGGCATGCAGAGAAAAAGTCCACTAGGCCATCATATCATTCTGGTCTAAAGGAAGATGTCCCTCTCCATGACAGGGGGTTGGAACGAGCAGGTCTTTAAGGTCCTTATCAACCCAACCCATTCTAGGATTCTAAGCAAGGCACAGACATGCACAAAAAAAAGCCAGATTTCTGGGGGAAAACCCACTGCTGGAAGCCCTCCTGTGTTGCTGTGGGAGCTTTTTGGTGGCTCCCACAGCCCTCCCCAGCCCTGCCCTCAGGAGCTGGGGGTCAGAGGGTCCCTGAGGGGGACAAGCCACGCGTGGAGCCGGGGGAAGCACAACTCACACTCAGCTCGGGTTCCAGGCGCCCGTACTGCTCCGACACCCAGAAGCCCCTCCGGTCCTCCAGGGCAATGTAGGGCTTGTCGGGGTACCTGGCCCTGAATTTCTTCAGGAAGCCTCCCTCGAAGTCAGCCAGCACCCCATCCATGTCCACCAGCACCCGCAGAGCCCTGCGGGACCCCGCTGTGGGGCCGAGCCCCCTGCCCAGCCCGGCCAAGGGGCCGCAGCGCCGGGGCCGCAGGTGTAGGAAGCTGCTCAGCAAAATCATAGTGGAAAGGGATTTGGGGCAAAGGATGGGGGATTTGGGGAAAGGGAATGGAGGATTTGGGGAAAGAGGCTCAGGGGAGGGAATGGGAGGCTCAGGGAAGCAGGTTCAGGGCAGGGGATGGAGGTTTGGGGCAGGGAATTGAGGGTCAAGGGATGGGGGACTTGAACAAGGGGATGGGAGGCTCAGAGGAGAGGGCTCAGGGAAGGGGATGGGGGTTTGGAGCAGGGGAAGGGAGCTCAAGGAAGGAGATGGGGGCTTGGGACAGGGGATAGAGCCTTGGAGCAGGGGAAGGGGGCTCAGGGAAGGGGACAGGGGCTTGAGAAAGGGACTGGGAAGTTTGAGGAAGGGGATGGGGCTTTGAGCAGGGGAAGGGGGCTTAGGGAAAGGGATAGAGGCTTGAGGAAGGGACTGGGGAGCTTGAGGAAGGGGATGGGGGCTTGGGTGAGGGGATAGAACCTTGGAGCAGGGGAAGGGGACTCAGGGAAGGGGATAAGGACTTTGAGGAAGTGACTGGGGAGCTTGAGGAAAGGGATGGGGCTTCGAGCAGGCGATTAGACCTCCAAGAAGCAGATGGGGGGCTTGGGTGAGGGGATAGGGGGCTCAAAGCAGAGCTGGGGGGGCTCTCCAAGCAAAGCGCGGGGGGGTGCCTCTATTTCAAGCACGCCCCGAGGCAGCGGGCAGCCCTGCCAAGCGCATCCCTTTGCAGCAGAGGGAAGGAGCGGCTGGGGGCTGCCGGGGGGGATGCAAAGGCTCGTCCCGGCCCTCAGCGCGACCTCCCCTTGCCCGCCCCATCCCTCCCCGGCAGCGGGCGCGGAGCGGCGGCGGGAGGGCGGCGGAGCTCGGCCCGACCCGGCAGTGCAAAGCCCAGTTCCTCTTCCCGGTGCCTGCCGAGCCCGGAGCGCCGGCACCGCCTTAAAGCGGCACAAGCGCCCTGCGACAGCGCGGCGGCCCCGCTGCCCTTCCCCGCCCTGAGGCTGCCCCAGCCCCGCTGCCCCAACCCCGCTGCCCTTCCCCGCCCTGCCTGCCTCAGTTTCCCTCGCTGGCAATCTTTGGGATACCCAGTCCCTCGCCCGCTGCCTCCCCCATGCCCGTCCCTCTCTGGGGACGCACGTAAAATGGTATTTTCTGCATAAAACACACTTGTTTTTGAGAGTTCTTGCGCCGTGTGACAGCTCTGTCCCCACGAGTGACAGGAACCCTTAAAAGCCAATTCCCGGAGCCTAAAGAAGCACACACTGTACCAAAAAAGGTTCGGTGTTCTGATCAGATACCAAAGATCTGTTCAAAAAACACTTTGGGGGTTAAAACTGATGAAGTTCTCCAAGTGGTACTGACAGGATTAGGCAACCACTGAGCTGGGAAATAAAAGTTTCTGCTCGACAGCAACAATAAGGTTCCAAAATATTTAATTTTTCAAGTGGAATGTACTGTCCTTGTTTCATAGAGAGGGCAAATCTGCTGTTGGGATCGGGTGACCTGGGGAAGGTCACAGAGGGAAGGCAGGAAGGAAGAGCTGGCTGGACACGCTGGTGATCTCAGCTGGGAGGGGAATGTGTGAAGTTCAGGTCTGTTTTGCTTTCACTTGCACCGCAGGCGTTTTGTTTCCTTCAAGGAATGGGATTTCAACACAGCTGGGTGTTCCTGACTAAGCAGGGAGGGAATATATGAAAATTTATGGCTCCCCAGGCAGTGGTCAGAGCACCGAGCCTGACAGAGTTCAGGGAGCATTTGGAGCTCTCAGGCCCAGGGTGGGATTTTGGGCTTGTCCTGTGCAGGGCCAGGAGTTGGACTGGATGATCCCTGTGAGTCCCTTCCAGCTCTGGATATTTTACAATTCTGTGATCTCCACTCAGGCTTCCTTCATCTTCGCAGATACCGAACATATTCCCTGCCTGCAACAGCTCCAGGACACGCTGCTGCAGCTCCTGAGGGATGGAAAACACAGATCCATGTGTGAAAAATGCATATTTTATAATTGGCTTTTCGCAAATATTACAATGAATATTATACGTGTAATGTTAGAAAGTTATGCTGTATTAATTCTCTTAAGTAGTGTGTTAAATATAGTTTTAGGTTCCAACATAATGTTAAAATAGAGACTACGTATGTGGGGGGAGTTTTTTTTTTAGGAATGAGTTACTTGCTTCGAGGAACACCTAAATCTTCCAAAGAAAAGGAATTTATGGTTTTCTTATCAGAGGGAGCTAATTTCTTCAGGACTTGCTCAAATTCGAAGACGCCTTGGGGATTAGAAGAAACAGTTGACATACAACAGACAGAGTTCTTGTTTTAAATAGAATGTATGCATAACCATGAAAGATATATGAATATGCAACAGGCTATTGCTTTTAAGGTTATTCCTCTGTTCACAAGACATGCTTTTTGTGACTTAGTGTCCGAGAGCATATGGCCATCCGTAATTCTTTGCATTTTATTGTCTTGTAATTGTCCAAACTCTAAACTTTATTACTCTAACTGTATTACTATTTTATAACCATTTTATTATTAAACTTTTAAAATTTTAAAAACCAAGTGATTGGCGTTTTTCACACACGTGTTAACCTGAGGGATTCAAACCCCATTCCCTGCTACCAGAGCGAACATTCCACGCACTCAGCCCAGCACCACCACACCATCAGAGGGGGCAGAAGGGATGAAACCTCTGCTGGTGCAGCGCAGCCCTTCGGGTGGGCTTCACCTCCCGGCCCGGGGGCAGCGGGAGGCACCGGCCACGCGTGTGGGGAGGGCCGGGTGTCACCGGGGTCCCGGCGGCGCAGGGTCCCTTATCACATGGGCCGCATATCGCGGGGGCCGCATGTCGCGGGGGTCGCAGTGAAACGAGGCCTGCATGTCGCGGGGGCCGCATGTCGCGGGGGTCGCAGTGAAACGAGGCCCGCATGTCGCGGGGCCCGCATGTCGCGGCGCTCCCCGCATGTCGCGACAGCGCCATGACGTCACCACCGCCCCTCCGGCGCTGCTGAGTCACGGCCCCTCCCGCGCGCCTGACGCGGGCCCGGCGGTTGCCATGGCGACCGCGCTTCTCGCGAGAGGCGGCGGAAGCGGCGCGCGGGCGGCGGGCGGCGCGCGGCCCCCGCGGCGGGCTCTGATTGGCGGGCGGCGGGCGGCGCGCGCCGCTCCCCCCGCCCCGCCCCGCCCCGCCCCTCGGCGCGCTCGGCCGCGGCGCGAGCCGCCAAGATGGCGTCGGCCCTGGAGCAGTTCGTCAACAGCGTCCGGCAGCTCTCGGCCCAGGGTGAGCGGGACGGGGCCGGCCGGAGGCACCGCGAGGACGGGGCGGGCCCGCGGGGATGAGGGAGGACGGCGAAGAGCGAAGGAGCTGGTCAAAAGGCGCGGGTGACGGCGCGGCGGGCCGGGGCCTGCCCGCTCGCACGGCGCTGCCTCAGGCGCGGGTCCGCGCTGCTGCACCCCCGCGGCGGCGGGGCCGTGCCGGGGTTAGTTCGGGACAGCCCCGAGAGGATCCTGGCGGTGTGACAGGGCCGGCGGTGCTCTCACGGAGCTCTCCCAGGGCCGGTGATCCTGCCAAAATCGGAGCCTTTAAAATAGGGGGAGGAGCGAGCATCGCTAGGGATTTAAATGGGATTGTGCGGCCCAGCCTGTCAACCCCGTAATGAACAGACTGGTTGTGATAAGTGTGATTTAAAATATATTTCTGAATTGTCCAAGTGTCCGTGCTCTTAATTTGCAAGCAGAGCGTGGACAGAGAGTCCCGCCCCACCACGGAACTGTGTGACAGATCAGAGACTGTACCCACGTGTCCACAAAGGGTTTTAATAATCACAATTAGAATTCCTCAGTTTTACTGCCAAACTCCTAATTTTACTCTGTGTGGGCGCAGCGTTTCCTGGTTCTTCAACTTTCCCTGTGTATTGATGCTCTGTGAAATGTGTTCGGACTGGTCTCTGCCTGGGATGTTTCCTCCCAGAAGCTGATCAAAAATTGATGTTTCACACCATGGCCCCAGGTTTTATCTCTTGCAGTTCTTGGGTTGAGCTCCAGCTTTCTCCTACTCTGGTTTCATGCAATAAATACAAATATTTCTACTTTAGAGACAAGTTATGTCTGCAGGGTGTGGGTACAAAGCAGATGGAAAATGGATCCTTGTACTCCTGTAATTGTGCTGGAGAACTTTCTGTCACAGAGTTTTGGGGATGCAGAAGACTCAAGGGGAAGCTGGTGGGCTTTATGGAAGTTCTCCCATTAGGGATGAGCCAGGGAGATGTTCTCTGTGAGAACAGCACAGTAAGGGCATGGACCTGATGGAGGAAGTCCAGATGCGGCCACCAAGATGATTGGAGGGATGAAGCTTTGAGGAAAGGCTGTGAGAATCTGGATTGTTCAGCCTGGAAAAAAGGCTCTGGGGTGGCCTAACTGTTGCCTTCCAGGATCTGGAAGAAGCTACAGGAAAGATGAGGAAAGACTTATTTATAAGGGCTTAGAGGGATAGGAAAGGAGGAATGGCTTCATAATAATCAGAGAATAGGGTTAGATTGGATATTAGGAAAGAATTCTTTCCTGTGAGGGTGGGCAGGCCCTGGCACTGAATTGCCAGAGAAGCTGTGGCAGCCCCTGGATCCCTGGAAGTGTCCAAGGCCACGTTGGACAGAGCTTGGAGCAACCTGGGACAGTGGGAGGTGTCCCTGCCATGGCAGAGGATGGAATGAGATGATCTTTGAAGTTCCTTCCAACCCAAACCCTTCTGGGATTCTGTGAAAGTAAATCCAGAGCCAGGAGCTGGATGTGAGAGCACTCGGGAGCAATGTGTGTGTGCTTGTGCTGGTTCCTGGCTGGCATTTGGCCACCTGGGAGGTGACAGAAAGGGACATTTAGTTGGGCCTGGTACTGGAATTTCTGCTCAGACTGTAAATTGTTCGGTGTGTGTGTGTGGGTAGAGAGATAGGTCACAGAATCCCAGAATGGTTTGGGTTGGAAGAAACCTTAAGGGCCATCTCTTTCCAACCCTTACCATGGACAGGGGCACACTCCACTAGAGCAGTTTGCTCAGAGTCTCTTCGGGGTTTGTTTTGTTTTGTAGAAGGGATGGATTTCTGGAATAGGGAGAACACCAGAACTAGGGTTTTGCAGTGCCTGAGCACCATGATCAAAGCACAGAGAGTTTTACAAGCCCCATTCCTTCCCATGTTCATGCCTTTTTTAATTCCATATGGAAGAGAATGGTTTTGGAGGTGAGTGTCTGGGCTCTGGTCCCCCATTTGGAATTTTGATCCCTCTGTCACTTCAAAACTAACATTTCACTGCTGGAATTTCCCTGCTTTTCCTTTCTCAAAGAAAAGGCCAGAGACCTGAGGGTAGTGTAAATCTCTCTGAATGGAGGCACTATTCCTCATTTTATGGAGACTTTTGTTAAGGGTGAGTGAAGCTCTGTTTTTTCCCTCTAATCTGCAAGGATTGGACATTGAAACAATACTCTGCTTCAGAAGGACGTTGGTTTAATTCATTCAGTTATTTGCTATTATGGGAGGAAGAGCTTGAAAGCAGCTCATGGGAATGGATCTGCGTCCTTTTATGAGGGTTTTGGGGCTTGCCATACCTCCCTCATTCAAAGTAGTCACTTTTCATGCTGTGTGCATAGCACACAGCACGTAGAATAACACTGTAGTTTCAATTGTACAAAGTAAATTTAAGGACAGGTTTTTAAATACTTTTGTTGTAGGTACTTAATTCTAACTTTAATGTCTACTTCAAAAAAATGCTTATGAGACCTGAAAGTTGAGTAGTGCTTGAGAACCAGTAAGGAACAAGCTCTGGTATTTGTTTTATATTAAAATAAAATGTGGTGGGCAGAAAATTAATGCCCGTTTTATTAAAGAAAATTAAAACTTGGGGTGATACTATTATTTCCTGCTGTTACACGAGGAAGCAGAGAGGTGTGGGAATGGGTGAATGTACTTTAACTAGGCTTTGACAACAATGCTTTTTATTTTTCAGGGCAAATGACCCAGCTTTGTGAACTGATCAATAAAAGTGGAGAGCTGCTAGCAAAAAATCTTTCCCATCTGGATACAGTGCTTGGTGCCCTGGATGTACAGGAACACTCACTAGGTGTTCTTGCTGTCTTGTAAGTGTTGCTTGCTTTTAAGTAAATACTAAAACTTCAGGCAATGAGCTGAACTGTCAGACAGGCAAAGCTTTTTGTTCTGGCCCTGGGACAAGTTGCCTGGAGAAACTGTGACTGTCCCATCCCTGGGAGTGTCCAAGGCCAGCTTGGACAGAGCTTGGAGCAACCTGGGACAGTGGAAGGTGTCCCTGCCCATGATTGATTCCAGGGGATTGGAACTGGATGGACTCTGAGGTCCCTTCCAACCCAAACCATTCTGGGATTCAATGATAAGTGTTTTTCCATATGTGTTCAGAAAAAATATGTAGAATGAGCTTTTAAAACTTTATTTTCAGGACATATTTTCACTGAACTGTAAGCATGGAGCCAGATGTTTTATTCCAGTCAGAAACAGGCTTTTATCATGGCTCTTGAGTGTTTGACTGTAGACAGCACTGAGGCACTTGCTGCTGTCTGGAGTTCAAGATAAAATTGAGTTGCCTTGGGGATGCTGAACTAAGGTGAAGATATTTAGTTCCAACTGGCTGTATCTGACGTCAAGTGAACTATCTGCAGGTTTCACTGCCATTTTAAAATTCTCTTCTAAGGGAAAGATCAGAATTCTAGCGCTTGTTCTACTATTCTTTCGAAACAAAATACTGATAATACTGAAAATTATCTTTGCCATTGTAGCTTGCACTAAACTGATAATTATGCTGTGCATTAAAAGGTGTTTTCAGATGTTGTGGTGCAGCTACTGGAGAAATCCTATGCCATGTCTCATGAGCACTTTGGATTTCTTTGCAAGAACCTACATGCAGAGACTTAGCAATGAAAATGTACCTTTTTTTATGAACCTCCAAGCAATAAATGCTAAACCTTTTGTTTCTTTGTTTCAGGTTTGTGAAGTTTTCTATGCCCAGCATCCCTGACTTCGAAACGTTATTCTCACAGGTGCAGCTTTTTATCAGCACTTGCAATGGAGAACACATTAGATATGCAACAGACACTTGTAAGTTAAGCCTAATTTCAGACTCGATATATTTTTGGATAGTTTGGTTATACTGATTTTTTTCACTGAGGTGTTTTTCTTGTTTGTTTTTTACTGTGTCTAGTTGCTGGCCTGTGCCACCAGTTAACAAATGCCCTTGTGGAGAGAAAGCAGGTGAGCGAGTACCATCTAGTACAAATAAGTTACTCCATACCCAAGGCTTAAAGGGGGTTTTACTAGCCTCTTACTCCATAAAGATTTGCCACTAACTTCACATCAAGTGTTTCAATGTAGCTCTTTAATTGTTAAGTTTACTGAAAGGTAATGAACCAAACTCAAAATTCTAAGATTTCTCTTAAGGAAAACCTAAGGAAGATAATTTTTGGGGGAGAAAAGTCACCTAAAAACATATTTTCACACACAAAATAAGAGATCTGTTCTTCAAACAATGCATGAGTAGAGGAGGGAGCTGCAAGGGTTATTAGCACTGCTGAGTCAGTGATTTTAGTCTCAGTGTTATTCTCACTGGTGTTACATAATGATCTTAATTAAATGCCTTAAAATATGCAGGAAACTTGATTAAGAAATACTTGACCAGTAGTTTTGTTGCTAAATTCTGACTTTTCCAGGCCACTTTGGTGAAGTCCAGCCTGAGACAGACCAGCTCTGATCTCTACTTTTAAGTGAACTGAAGTGAGAACCTTGTTTTTAGTATTTGTTGGGAGTTTGGACAGACTCATTGAGTCAAGGAAGGTTTTTTATTGATACAGATTACTGTATTCCTGGTGAGATTGGCTTTGTGGAGCAGAATTGAGGACTTTATCAGGAGAAATTGTATAGTGAAGGTTAATTTTATTTTCCAAAAGACTGTGATATCCTACAAAAAGGGAACCTCAAGTTAACTATTACTTAATGGAACCTGTCAATTAGTGTTATTTTTCATTTGTAAGTGTCAACATAAGATCCAATGTGCTGCCATCTATGAGAAATTATCTGAAAGAGATGTAATTTCTGACAGCCCCTGCGAGGAATTAGCATTCTCAGACAAGCCATAGACAAGATGCAGATGAACACAAACCAGCTGACCTCAATACACGCAGATCTCTGCCAGGTAAGGGGATCACAAGTGCTTTTTGTGAGAATAAAAGCTTATAAAATACCTATAAAACTTCAAGAAAATGCACATTCACATATTGCAGTGTAAGAATGGATTTTCAAATGGATTTTTTTTTCTTCTAGTATTAAATAATATGATGTACTGAAATAAAATCCAAATCTGATATACAGATTAATTATTAATTTTAAATGTTCAGTGCATGTCCCCAGATCTTTGGTTTTGTTGATGACTTCAGAAGGTCCTTTGACATCCCTTCTCTGTGGGCTAAAAGTCACACTGAACTTAACTTGGGTGGTATCAGTGTAATATCCAGCTCCTGTCTGCTCAAGTCTGACAAAAGACATGTTTGTCGTGGTGTCTTTGGCCTGGATTTGTATTTCTGTCTCATTCTTGGCCCCTGGGATTTAGGGTTAGACAGGAATGTTCAGAGCGATATTTAGTGCTGCCAGCACAGTAGTCTGGCAGTCCTGGAGTTTCAAACAGCTTTGTCAGAGTTTAATTTCTTTAGGAGTCAGATCATTTTATAACAGTTCGTAATCTGTGCTAAAGATTTTCAACTTGTGTTACTCCACTATGGACACGCTCTGTTTTTTAACTTGTGGGAGACTGATATTTATGCAGTAATACTAATTAATTTAGTTTCAATTCCTTCTCATGGAAACTTGAATGGAAATGGCTAATTTATGAAAACTTGATTTATTTTCTTGTAGCTCTGTTTGTTAGCAAAATGCTTTAAACCTGCCCTCCCGTATCTAGATGTGGACATGATGGATATTTGTAAAGAGAATGGGGCATATGATGCGAAGCACTTTTTATGTTACTACTACTATGGTGGGATGATATACACTGGGCTAAAGAACTTTGAAAGAGCACTCTACTTTTATGAACAGGTAACTTGAAATGAAACCATAAGTCTGAAGTGTGATGTCTGGAAAGGCAGAAGTAGATGTGTAATAGTGCTGAGAAAACACAACACCTTTGAACTGGCACAAGCACGCTGTGTTTGGAGGTGTTTTCTTTTAAAGAAAGTCTCTCACAGCCTTATTGCACCATAAAGCTGTGCAGCTCAAAGAGTGATGTTAAATTTATCTCAGTATAAATATTTTTCAGCTGCCTGCTTGAAACTGCAGCACAGAAACAGGTCATGGGCTGAGACACGGTTGTGTGTCCTTAAAAAATAGTCCAGTGGTTTTGTTAAGGCCTTTGCTACTTTTATGAGAGGAGTTATATTTTTTCAATGCTGTTATAATATTTGCTGGTTTTGCTTTATCTGGGAAGGAAATAAAAGTAGTAAAATTAGGGAAATGCTTGTGAAATGTGCAAAACAAATTGGTGCAGCATTTTTCTTTTTTGTAAATGAGGGGCAGCTCTTGAGTAGTTCCAGTATCATAGTGAACTAAAATCCTTTTTCCCTATTCTGCAGACCTCTGACAATATAATAGCTTTATAGAACCTCTTTGAGAGACTGTGTAAATCTAGGTTCACAGGTAGCTATTGGTGATTTCTGGTACAACTTTAGATAGATTCCAAGGAAGGAAGTTTTGATTCTATCTGAGCAGATCTATTTTAAGACAGGCACCACTGTAATGTGATATGTTTTGAGTAGCTTGTATAAAATTTCCTTTCTTTTCCGTACGCCTGGATAATTAATTTTGACAGAAGTTAGTTAAGCTTCAGCACTCAAAGGAGAATTTCATATGTTACTGTATTCTTTCTACATGCAGCTTGAAATTGAGTTTTTTATTCATGCAGTAATTACCAGGATCTACCAGTAAGCAGACTAAATTTCTGTTCCATTTCTTTCTCTCTTGCTTAGGCAATAACTACTCCAGCCATGGCAGTCAGTCATATTATGTTGGAATCATATAAAAAGTATATCCTAGTTTCTTTGATACTACTTGGTAAAGTTCAGCAGCTACCAAAATACACTTCCCAGATAGTTGGTAGATTCATTAAGGTAAGTATTGCAAATGCATCTACATAATAAATCAACAAATCTGAATTTGTAAGTGTGTAACAGTGGAACGTGTCCCTGTCCATGGCAGGGGTTTGGAGTAAGATGAACGTGAAGGTTCCTTCAACCCAAACCATTCTATGATTGTATGATGTCAGTGATACAGGTTTTTAAAATCTGGGGAAATTTCAGTGTTGAATAGTACTAATCTGTATTCCTTTCACTGATACTGCACATTCCTTTATAGCTTTTTATGTTAAAATTTTTAAAATACTCATATTTCAATTGACTTTCAAGCTGCAGTGTCATTATAAAAAAGATGTGACCTTTAACTTCATCTGATTGAAGCAGAAAATGCTAAACAGTTTATTCCCAAACCCCAGCTTTTTAAAGAATAAAAGCTTCTGAAAAAACTGCGAGTTTGGAGTCTGTAAGCATTCAGATTAGAAGGTGTAGGTGGGAGACAAAACTGCTACTGAGAGAGTTCTGATCCTCAGTAACACAATTCTAAAGTTAGTTCTTACTTAACACTGAGTTTGTTGATTTGTGACCAAAACTCTAGAGATTTCCAAAATTATTCTAATTTCAGAGACTAATAAAAAAGCTGAAAACATTTTAAGGTAGTTTAGGTGAACTGGTTTCACCCTCTGAGTCTCTGCTGTCCATGCTGTGACCTGAAGTTGTCAAGGACGGATGTCTTAGAGGGCAGAACAAATATAATGGATGGGCAGTTACTGGCAATACTTACCTCAAACTCAGCTGATCAATTGAGAGTTGTTTCACACTGCTGTAAGTAAAACTGCCACACAGAGGTCCTGGAATGATGTTTATTAAATGCTACACAGCAGTAATACAGATTTTAGTGTGTGAGGGTCTGTCATTGCCATAAAGCCATGTATGGGCACCCTGTCTTTTTTATGAGAAATGCCCAAGCTACTTAAATTTACTTCAATGCCTGCATGGCTTCTAATGTTGGAGCACTGAATAGGTTTTGTGAGGCTGGGTGAACACTGTGTTCTTCAAGAAGGGTTCTCATTTTTCTAATTGCAGCCTCTTAGCAATGCTTACCATGAATTAGCACAAGTTTATTCAACCAATAAACCCTCGGAGCTTCGAAATCTGGTGAACAAACACAGTGAAACTTTCACAAGAGATAACAATATGGGTCTGGTTAAACAATGCTTGTCATCTCTCTACAAAAAGAATATTCAGAGGCTAACCAAGGTAAGAGAAACAGTGAACAGTTTTCTTCTGTGAGAGTGTATTTCTCAAATATATTTGATTTAGAGCTAAATGATAACATAGTAATGTGGCAGAGAAATCACTTAAACTGAGACTTGTGTCTGAAACAAAGGAGATTAGAATGCTCTGTATAGGAAAACAAATCAGTTGGCTGCTTATGCATTATTTAAAAGGTGATTCAATCTGTCTGTCAGAGGTGTTTGCCCATGGGGTTTTCATAGATAATAAAAAAAGTGAGAGCTGCAACCCAGTGACCTTCATCCCTATTCAAGAAATAAGAAAACTGAACTTTACAGGCCACTTCATTAGAAAGGAGTGAGTGAATAGGAGAGATTTTGGAAGTGTCTGAAATAAAAGGAAAAACAGAAGCACTGAAGTTATTTGCCGAGAGATCAGATTAATCCTGAAGTGTGATTGGGGAAAGCAGGTTTTTTGCAAGCTCAAATCATATTTGTTGCAGTAGGAAAAAATCTCATAAGGAGCTTAGTATATGCATCTCTTGAAGGAAATTCAAGGGGTAGAGAGTCACTTTTTTGTGTAAAAAAGGTGAGAGAAAGAGGTTGGACATGATCAGGACTGTCTGGTGTAAAATGAAATCGCAGGAATGAGTAATGACTCCATACGTGCTCAGTGTAACAAATTAATGTCTGGAGGAAGAACTGACTCACTCTCACTCTTCAATAATTCTGTGTTCCACTTGTTCCTTCCCATCAGACTTCCACAGTCAGGTTACACAGGCCATGAAGCATCAACAGGAAAATCTTTAACATCCAGTTTTAACACTTGAAAACTTTCTAAATTTCAGACATTTTTAACATTGTCATTACAAGACATGGCAAGTCGAGTGCAGCTGTCGGGGCCCCAAGAAGCAGAAAAATACGTCCTCCACATGGTAAGACCTCTGACCTGGGGAAGCTATCCCATAATTAGTGTTTGGGTTGGCAGTACACATCCTGAGCAGCTCTTCTTCAGGGTGGAGGAAATGCTGACAGTGTACTGTGGTGTTGAGACTCTTCTCAAAAAATCTAAAAGCATTGTAAGATAAGGCATGAATCATGTTTTTGGGAAGCTGTGGGAAGTAAAAGCAACCAAGTTAAAGACAATTCCACAGAGTTTGTGTGTTGTAGTTATCTGAAATTCTGTTCTTGCTGATAACTTCTATTAAACCCTCTATCATTTCAGATAGAAGATGGTGAAATCTTCGCAAGTATTAATCAGAAAGATGGTATGGTCTGTTTCCATGATAATCCTGAAAAATATAACAATCCAGCTATGCTTCATAACATTGATCAGGAGGTAAATCTTTTACTGCTTTTGGAATTCTTACCAAAGAACCTTAGACTGTAATCAGAGAGGTGCTGGCAGGAGCCAGTGTAGTAACTTAGATATAGAGAGTGAAGACTGTAAATCACTATATTACTATTTCACAGTATTTTCGTGGGTTTTAAATTAGTACTCTCTCTCTCAATATGTTCCCTGTTTTGTCCTGCACAGCTTGAGCTGTTTCAGGAGACTGACTGCTTGCTGTTGGTGATGGGAAGATCCTTGAGTGGATTAAAAAGATTGTTTTTAGAGTTTTAAACTTGAAGGATCACTTCCATTGGCTCTCAGTAATCTGCCTGTAGGTTAAGGTGGTTGAGCCTCAGGGTACTGTCTATCAATGGCCTTAAAAAGGGCTGTTAGGAATACATAGATCAAATGAAGGGAATAAAGTACAGTCTGAGGCTTTTGTTTGGGAGGTGAGGGATGTGAACATTTTGATGTAGAACTTTAGTGGTGGCAGAAATTACTTGTTCTACATGGCACAGCCGTGAAATGTGTTGAAGATCAGGTACAAGCTGGACAAAGTAATCAATTTCATACATATTTTTAAGATGCTGAAATGTATAGAGCTAGATGAACGACTGAAAGCCATGGATCAAGAGATCACTGTGAACCCTCAGTTTGTGCAGAAGGTAATGGATTTAATGTCTTGTCAGAGTATGTAAGAGATTCATTCAGTGCAGTGAGTATATTGTACTGAATGTCAGTATTTACAGTGTTGTTATTACGCATTATTAATAATATGTGCATAAACATCATGACACATCGTAAAGATAATTTATTAATTTTAAAAGTGCTTTTCCCTAATTAATCCTGCAGTGATTTCAACCAGAAAATTAAGTGCATGTTATTTCATAGGCACTTTATTTTCCTCCATGTTCACTTCAAAGAACTGTCATTCTCAAGCCTGCAGACCTGTTTCTGAACAGAACTAACTCTCTCCCTTTCAGAGTATGGGCTCTCAAGAAGATGACTCAGGGACCAAACCATCCAGTTATTCTTGAAATTAATGTTGCTCACCACTCCGCTTTCAAGTAAAAGCTTACGAAAGAATCACGCCTGGAACAGGGCATTGAGGAGTTCCATAAAGAGCAGAGAGAACTGAGCTTTGCTTTTCACCTGGACATTAAGAAAATAAAAGAACACCCTCTCAGTACTGTATAATATCAGAAATATTCTCTGCAAAGAAAAAGGAAATCTCAAAAGAAACTTGAAAGTCTGTTGTGGATTTATTTATCTTCAGATTAACATTGTTAATGCATTAAATAATCTGCCTTTTGTTTTAAAGGGTTTGAATGTTGCCGTGTTTCTGTAGCAGTCCTCCTCTACTGCAAAAGAAAGTGTTATTCAGGGAAGAATACAAACTAGTGTTGGTTCACTTACAAGATAATTATTGGTTCATTGTTCTGTATTTGAACTTGGCTCAAAGTGCAGATTTATCATATGTGTGGTGGGGGCAGAGAGGTGGAGTTCAAGCAAATCATAATGTAGGGAATTTGCATATGCCCAATGTAGCTGGTGCTGTCTGTTAAATGAGGAAATAAGAACTGTTCTTCCAAAAAGGATGAGGATATCAACATGTCCTTGTAAGGAAGTTTGCTGCAAAGTAAGAATCATATATGGAAAACATACGTGACAGCTGTTTATGATTTTAAGTTTCTGTTGCAAAATATCTGCTAATATTATTTGCTCTTAGATGAAATTTATTAGACCTAAACAAAAGGATATTTGGAAAACATTGGTGTTCTGGAGGAGTCTAGATAGGAAGTTGTTTACACTGAAAGAAATTTAAATGTTTGTTCCTGTGCAACTGGCATGAAGGTATTCAACAGGCTGATAGTTTCTTTGGTGGAAACCTGTATTTCTGCATGGAACATAAACAGAATTCTATACAGCTCTCAAAATGCAGGATTTTATTCAGATATAATGTGTTGGAATGGTACCTGGTTTTTAATTTACTATTTTAAACTTTAAAACTTTGCTATTGGATTCTTTAAAGTGCTTCACCCCTTAAATCGACAGGCTGTTTAATTTTCTGTCATTCTCGTGTATTTGAAGATTCTCACTGTTCAAACACCTTCCTGTCAGGCAGAAATAAACCTGTCATCAAATCAGAAAACAAGAAGCTCAACAGCCACTGCTTCCTACTGAAACACCTGGCCAGGAGCTGCTTGCTCCTGCTGCCCTGCCAGCTTTTTTCCAGGTGGGAGCTGAGAATTTCTGGCTCTTGCTGTGAGAAGTTTGTATGTATTGAGGTCACCTGTGGTAGAAAATATTCCATTTGTGCTTCCAGTGCTGATACAGAAATGGTGGTGGCAGCAGGGTGCTGCCTGCTCGTGCAGAAACGTGTCCCAGGTTGTGGTTGGTGGTGGAGGATGTTTTTTAAAAGTATAAAATAGCAGTTTAGTAGTGAACACATTGGAGGTCCATAGTGTGAGTAGCTCATCACTTCCTGCCTGAGAGAATTCCATTGGGACAACTTTTATATCTGATCTTTAAAGCAAAATCTTGGGGTTTTTCATAACTCACAAGTCTTGCAACTAGAAGAGATTTATGACTTGGAAGGGTTTTTGCCTCATTAATCCTGCAGTGATTTTAATGCTGAACATACAGCATTTTCCCCTCTGGTTCCATGGAAGTATTAAATGAGTAATTAGTGATGCTGTGGCTGAGCCCAAAACAGGGTGGTTGTTACAACCACATGTGTCACTCACAGAAGGGACTGCAAACAACTGACCCCAAACCCCACCCATCCAGAAATGTGCCTGGCTCAACTCTCCTTGCCAGTGGCTCCCTTGCCAGGGCAGAATGTATTCAGGATGCTGTCAGAAAAAAACAGGAATGTCCATTTTTACACTACTAGTTCCTATTAGTGAGCATGGATTTACGTGCTGAGATCTGCAGGATGGTTTTCCAGCTGTGGAATTAGAAGCAAGCTAATCCATGCAGCTGGTGAATAGCTCTAGATTTTTCTCTTCTTTTTCCTTGCCCAAAGTAGATAAAACAAATCCATGCTCACATCAAAAGGATGGCAAAAATAGCTGTGTAATAGTTTAAAGTGATATATTCCATTACATATCTGATTTTTAAGAGGGCAAATGCTTTTAAAGTCAGAGAACGGCTGCGGTTCCTTTTCTGTCTGTGCTGTCAATGTCTGAATTCTGTTAGAAATTCAAAGTCAGGTCCCACCTGTAGAATCAGTAGATAAAGCATTCACCAAAAGTGCTCCAGGGAAGGGCTTTTAAGTCCTAGTTTGATAAACACACATGATCTGGCATCTGCATGTCTTGAGATAGCACTGAAATTAAGTCAGATTTTTAATGAAGCGGCTCCTTCCAAGTCTTGGAACTAATTGCCTGGGCTGTGGTCAGCTGAGAGGCTTCGAGAACACTTGGGCTTTCTGGTTTTAATTTGTATTTACTGCAGGGAAGGACTTCTGCTGAAATATAGGAACACTGCGTGCTGTGCTGCTCCCAACTTGGACTCTCAGAGGTCTCGTGGCTGTTCCTTCCCATCCTGCATGGTCACAAGATGTGTCCAGGGAATACGGAGTGCATGCTTTGATATCTGACTCTGATTTTGATGCATTTTAATTAGCAAAGACACAAAATGCACTTCTGAAGGCAGCATCAGATGTGCAGCTGCAGTTCACAGCCACAGGAGGGGTCTCTAGGCCAGTCACGGTGAGATCTGGAAATGTTTCTAAGGAGGAATGGTTGGAAGCTGTGTCCAGCCAACCCCCACTCCTGGTTTTGTGCCACTGAGGAGCCCCAGAGCGTGACCTGTGCTGAGACATTGCTCCATGGTGTAACTGCAGCTGCCTCCTCCTCCTCCACAGCTCCGTGTGTGCCACAGCACAGCCACAGCCCCGTGTTTGTGTTGTCACAGGCCATCTGTATAACCCAGGAAATGTTCTCCGTGTGGCCACGCTGGCCCGGGAGCTTAGTCCTGAGAAGTTGTTTAAATGTACTATTGGAAAATAAAGATAACAAACGAGTCGTTCTTAGTTTGTCTTAAATGAAATTGTAGGTCTTTTCTATTTGGGGTTTGCTTAGTTTTTTGGGGGGGTCTCTTTGTTCTGGTTGCTTTTCAGGAGGTGATTTTGGCTGGCTGGGGAGGCTGCTGGTTGCCTGCTGTGTGTGGCAGTGCCCTCTGCTCCAGAGGTGCTCAAACCCTGCTGGTGGCTTCTCGGAGCTCTGCTGAGCAATTCCAAGTAGAAATAATCTTTCTTTGGTGTCTTGAGACGTGCTGCTGCAGGTCCTTATCTGAGATGAGCTTTGGGATTTTGGATGGAACGCGTCTTCACTGGTCTAGTGAAGATGTCCCTGCCCACAGCAGGGCCTTGGCATGGGATGGTCCATGAGGTCCTTCCAACCCAAACCATTCTGGGATTTGTGTCTGAGCTCTGTGTTCTGTAACAATCCATCTTGCTGACCATCTGCCTATTGTTTTAATCAGAGACATAATTATGAGTCCATGAGTGGCTGTGCTTGGATCCAGAAGTGTGTTGTGTAGTGGTATCTGCAATAGCTGCTCTTTCTTGGGATTAAAGTACAAATTCTACTCAGTTGAATAATCTATGCTGTTATCTACCTGAAAATTTATTCTTTTTGTTCAGATTCAGGTATTTAAAGTTCTTTAAGTGGCAACTCCAAGGGGCAGGGTGGAGTCTGGTACTTTATTATTTTGAAGGTCAATAGTTTACATGGAATTTGGTTTAGCTTTCCATCATAGATTCTTAGAGGTAAATAATCTTTTAATACTTAAATGTGATACCCTGAAGAGAAACAGGAGTTGTTAAATGGAAATAAAGAGCCTGAACAGGCTTAACTTGGGCATTTGCTTCCCTGCCCTTCCCGGGCTGTACCTGTGCAAACACTTCCACAGGGCCACTTTATAAATCGGGAAACGACAATATTGTGAAACCTTCATTTGCCATAATCTAACATTCTGAGCACTTTAAGGAATTAACACAGACGGTGGGTGCTGAGTCTCCAATGGAGAAGTCACGCCGAGCCTGCGAGAACACGGCACCGCCCTGAGGCCGGGGAAAGTCCCGGGAAGGGGCTCTGCGACAGCCGATGGCAAAGCTCGTTAATGCGGCAGGCTCCAACCCGGCCCCGGTTCCGATCCCGGCCCCGGTTCCGCTCCCGGTCCCGGTTCCGCTCCCGGTCCCCGTCCCGGTCCCTCCGGGGGTTCCCCCCGCGCCCACTCCGAGTCCCCTCCCAGAACCTGCGGATCACGTGACCCGCATCGCAGCCCGTACCACCCCGCGGGGGGAGCGCCGCCCGCTCCCGGGGCGGTCCCCGCGGGTCGCTGGCTGCCGCTTGTCCCTTCTGGTGTCCCCGGTGATGGAACACCGCTGCTCCGCTCTGCGCCGTGACCGCTGGGCAGGTGTAGCGCGGCGGGGAGGGTGCGCCTTCCAGACCTCCTCACACCCCCCTCCTTTGAGATAATGGCTCCGCCCGGCCTCTGTGGACAGGGCGGGCCTGGGCCGAGCCACTGCAGCAGCCGGGGGGTGGCGGCTCCCCGGGAGAGCGGCGGGACGGCCGGCTCAGTCCCGCGGTACGAACGGGCTTCTCATCTCTCTCTCTGTCTCTCTCTCCTACCTTGTTCTCCATCTTCTCGCTTCTCCGCGGCGGCGGCGGGCACGCGTGCGGGGCGCTGTCTGTCCCTGCTCCCCCCCGGCTGGCGGTGGGGTGGTAGGGCCGGTGGGTCAGTCGGTGTGAGGCGGACACGGGACGGGCCGGGGCCGCCGCGGTGAGCGGGGGCGCCGTGACGGGGCACGGGGAGCGGGACCGCGGTGACGGGGCACGGGGAACCGGACACTGCACCGGCGGGACACGCTGGCTTCGGCAGGGCCTGAGGCGTTCGGCTCCGTGGGTGCTCCGCAGCGCCGGCCAGTTCCGGCCTGAGGCTCGGGGCACGGGGGATCTGGTGTGAGCTCAGCCTTGATCCAGAGGAGGCCACCAAGGTGATCGGGGGAGAAGAGCACCTGTCCTTTGAGGAAATGCTGGGACAATTGGGATTGTTCAGCCTAGAAAGGAAAAGGCTTCGGGGTGACCTAATTGTGGCCTTCCAGTACCTAAATAGAACTTACAGGAAAGATGGGACAAGACTGTTTACAGGGGTGTGGAGTGACAGGACAAGGGAGAGCGGCTTCAAACCGACAGCAGGCCTAGATATGATATTGGGAAGGAATTTGGCCTGTGAGGGTGGGGAGGCACAGGTTGTCCAGAGGAGCTGTGGCTGCCCCATCCTGGAAGTGTCCAAGGCCAGGTTGGACAGGGCTTGGAGCAAACTGCTCTGGTGGAAGGTGTCCCTGTCCATGGCAGGAGGTTGTACTGGGTGATTTTCAAGGTTGCTTCCTACCCAAACCATTCTGCAATTCCCTGAACCTGTCCCTGTAATACTGGGGGTATCTGGGCTTGATGGATTGGTCCAGCCCCATTCACCCCCACAGGGCTTGATGTGTCCTGGATCAGTGTCCAGCACCTGGGCATGGCAGGTGGGGTTGCTTGAGGCCATCCCATCAGCAAACAGAAGGTTGGCCCTGGATCAGTGCAATGCCTGGGGCGGTGTTGGAGTCACCATCCCTGGAGGTGTTTAAGGAAACACTGGACACGGCACTCAGTGCTGTGAGCTGGGTGACAAGGTGGGGATCGGTCACAGGTTGGACTTGATGGTCCTGGAGGTCTCAGTCTCAGGCTGAGCTGCTCTGGGTGGGATGCAGAGCAGCAGTGAGGGCTGAGAGCTGCCCTGGTATCCGTGTGCTGACCGTGTGCTCTGCCCCTGGCTGCAGGAGCCTGCCGGCGGTGCTGAGCCCTCACCATGAACGCCATCGTTGCCCTGTGCCATTTCTGTGAGCTCCACGGCCCTCGCACCCTGTTCTGCACCGAGGTCCTGCACTCGCCGCTCCCGCAGGGCGCCGGCAGCGGGGACATCTCCGGGCAGAACGAGCAGGCGGAGGAGGAGGAAGGTGGGATTCAGATGAGCAGCAGGATCCGCTCGCACAGCCCGGCTGAAGGGGCCAGCGCCGACTCCAGCAGCCCAGGGCCAAAGAAGTCAGACATGTGTGAGGCAAGTGGGAAAATCTGTGCATGGGGATCTCCGTCCTTGGCTTGGCCAAAGGGCTCTGGCATTCTTTGATGTAAATTGAATTGTTTAGAGACAAATAAAAATGTGAACAGAATTTGTTTTGTATGTGTCAGTGCCAGAAGCTCTCCAAGTCCTCATAAACTGCAAGCTAGCCCTAACTCTAATCCTGATGATCCATGACAAGAGGATGAAGGAGCTGTTGTTGAACACATACACCTTGACAGGACCTTGAGGTCCCTTTAAGCTCTGTAATTTTTGATTCTCTTGTGGCTGAGAAATGATTTGCTCATCCTTGAAGAACATTTATTTTGTTAGATTAGATCAGATAACTTATGAATAGTAATTTTAAGAGCAGTATTGGTTAGGAAACAAAAAAAAATGTAAAACAATTAAAACAATAGGAAAAATTATATTCTCAGTCATTCAGGGCTGTCCAGCCTGGAGAACAGAAGTTTGTGTGGAGACCTCACAGTACCTTTCCAGTGTCTGAAGGGGCCTGCAGGGAATCCAGAGAAGGACTCTTCATCAGGAACTGCAGTGATAAGACAAGGAGTAGTGCGTTGAAACTGAAAAAAAGGGGAAATTTAGGTTAGATATACTAAAAAATTATTCCCTCTCAGGGTAGTGAGGCCCTGGCACAGGTTGCCCAGAGACGCTGTGGCGGCCCCATCCTTGGAAGTGTCCAGGGCCAGGTTGGATGGGGCTTGGAGCAGCCTGGGATGGTGGAAGGTGTCCCTTCCCATGGCAGGGGGTGGAATGAGGTGCTCTTTAAGGTCCCTTCCAACCCAAACCATTCCATGATTCTCATATTTGTCTTCTATCAGTACTTCCTCTCACATATTTATTATTTACTTTCCCTTCAGTTGTGGCCAGTTTTGTTTGGCCAGTTGGTTTCTCAACTGCTGTAACTGAACTTTACCAGCACCAAGTTCGCAGTGGAATTAAGTAGAAAATGAGCATAAAAGCAGAAGTATATCAGAGTTTTGTGAGAGGAGCCGAGTTAAAATCCTGACTCTGACTCTCCTTCCTTGTCTTCTGAGTCTTTGTCCTCCTGTCTGTGTGTGTAAATAAGATTTTACGGTGTTTTGGAGGGAACAGTCAGAGCTCTTTGGAAACCTCAGAACCTGCACGCTCATTTATGGCTGGATTTGCTTTTCTGCCTTCAGGGCTGCCGCTCTCTTGCAGGAGGACACCCGGGGTACGTCAGCCACGACAAGGAAACCTCCATCAAGTACGTCAGCCACCAGCACCCAAACCACCCCCAGCTGTTCAGCATCGTGCGCCAGGCCTGCGTCCGCAGCCTCAGCTGTGAGGTACTGCCTTGGAGGACAGGGAAATGCTGTTTGTGCCTCCTCTATCACTTCAAATCCAAGACAGTCCATTGCTGATCCTGGCTGCTCTGTGCAGACTGAAACATGGAGAGAACCAGGTGGAAAGACAGGCACACAAGTCTGTTTATTCCAGGATTGGTGGTATTTTTTATGGTATTTTTGAAGCTTGATCTTTGATGACCTCAAGGGTTCCTTCATCTCACCTTGTTAGGCTAAAAATATGCCCTTCTTGGTTTTGTTCCCTGTACTTATTATTTGCCATTGTAAGATAACCTGTTTTTTGTAAAAACCTCTGAATGTGGTGTTGATTACCCTTTATAGACCATTAATATTCATCCTAACAGACACAAAGGAAAAACCTCACAGATTAATGAACATTTGTGTGTCAGGATCACCGAAATTCCTTCTGGATTCTCAGTATTGTAGTTGAATTGAGTTGAATTCTTAAAATACAGTTAAATTGAAGGATTTGGAGCGTTTGTAGGATATCTCTGAGAGGCTGTTTGACCACGCTTTCCGGATAGTATTGTATAAAGACTTCATTTATTCACCAAGTGGGTGTTAAAG